TTTTTTTTCAGGGGCGCGAGGCGTCGGTCAAGAGTGGGCGTGATCTGAAGGGAATTGTCACAGAGGAATGGGTTGTCCCGGGGCGTCAGTCCAGTCTTAGTCATCTTTTTTGTATTCGCATTCTTTTTAAATTTATTTTCCAAACGGTCTTGTGTTCTGTGTTTATCGTTCGAAAAACTTTATTGAAATTTGATGATTTTCGCTACTTCATATTAAAATCTCTTGTGCATCTGTGTCGTGTCGTTAGTCACTGCCCGTAGTAAAATATTTGGCTGTGACAAATTTGGTATCAGAGCCGTCAGGTTATAGGTCCTGTAGACATTTAGGGTAGAGAGTCGTGTCCTCTGTGACTTCGCTCGTCAATCACATGCCGCTCACGACCAGACGTTCTCACGCGANCACCAGTCCTTACGGTTCCAGATGGGTCAGGTAATCTCGTGGTGTACAGTGATGCATCAGGGAAAGGTTTGGGGTGTGTGCTCATGCAGAAAGGTAAGGTGATAGCGTATGCTTCTCGACAATTGAAAGAATATGAACGAAACTACCCCACGCATGATCTCGAGTTAGCAGCGGTAGTATTCACTCTAAAAACGTGGCGGCACTACCTGTATGGGGAAAAAGTACAAGTCTTCACTGATCATAAGAGCCTCAAGTACTTATTCACACAGAAGGAGCTCAATATGAGACAGAGGCGATGGTTGGAGCTGGTAAAGGATTATGACATAGAGATTCTGTACCATCCAGGCAAAGCCAACGTGGTAGCTGATGCATTGAGCAGGAAGGCTGTGCATACTTCTGTGATGATCACCACACAGGAAAAACTACAATATGAGATGAAGAGGGCTGGGATAGACGTGGTGATTAAAGGTGGTAATGTTCAGATAGCACAATTAACTATACAGCCTACCCTACGAAAGAAAGTTATCGACGCTCAGAGGTCTGATGAACACCTCAGTNAGCAGAGATGTTTCAGACGTTCATGATGACGTCGATGGAAAATCAAGCTCTGACGAACCAGATGATTTAGACCATGATGTCTAATCAGTCAACAGGGCAAGGGGGCAAGGATTCAGGGACTATGACTGTGGAGTCCCGCTACTTGAGAGATTTCCAGAGGCATAAACCGCCTTCCTTTGACGGAGGCAAGATGGATCNGTGGAGTCAGATTGAGACAGAGAGGCCAGTAGGGTATTCTATCTCCTCAGACGGGGGTCTGCTATGGCAAAACCGCCTGTGCGTTCCCCGAGACAAGGGAATCTTAAAAGATATTATGACCGAAGCCCACGATACATCTTATGTGTTCCACCCTGGAAGTACAAAGATGTATCAGGATCTGAAGAGGTTTTACTGGTGGTCCGGAATGAAGAGGGACATAGCGNAATACTACCCAATCACTGCCAGAGTGAAAATGCAGGCCACGTTCCTCGCATTGAAACAGGGAGACAGATCAGTGGGGGATTATGACTTGGAGTTCAATAGGCTGGCAAGGTTTTCTCCAGCCTATGTTAGTTCTGAGGAGTTGAAGGGCGAACGATTTATTGCTGGCCTGAGGGAAGAACTAAGGGGGAATGTGGCATCCCAGTCATCCTTTGTCTATACGAAAGCCCTTCAGGTGGCGACCCTGCTCGACTCGCCCCGTACCGACAAGCTTCAGTTGGGAATAGCACAATCATCCCACACTGCGGCCTAGGGAAAGGGGGCATACCCTAGCCACCCCAGAACTGGCAGACCACC